TTCTCTTTAAATTATATTTATTTATAATTTATTCTTCCAATTATTTTTTTTTTCCTATGGTATTGATATTTTAAATTTTAAAAAAGTGTCATAAAAGTTGCATCGATTTAAGCGAGGAAAAAACTCTTTCATTTATTAAAACATATATATATAATGGAAAGGAAGAAAATCAAACGAGAACGGTAATAATAATGCAACTTAATTACGTATAAATATTCGTGAGAATTATCGTGTATGTTATCATTAACAAAATTAAACATACGTTTATTTAAACGCGTTTAAACTTAACTATACGAAGTTTCCAACAGAAAATATAATCATACGATAATGTATGCTGAAAAATATTATTATTTTCTTTATCCTCTAATTTCGTTAATAATTATTCCATAATATTATATATTATTCGACGGAAAATCCTTCGCGATATATATTTTACGAGCTTCGTCAGTTTGTTATCTATACAATCACACACACACCCACACACAGTACATACATATATATATACCTATGCATCTGTACGAGCAGGTATTAGAGATGGTACGTGCTTTCACGAAAATCTGCGTCGAATTGCAAGAGAAAAGAGGAAAACGGTTGAAAAGTTGTTGCTAACCCCATGCACGTTATGCAGGTGCAACCCTAGTGCATAGGAAAATGTGTCAAACCATTATAGGACAATACATTCTAATGACTGAATATGCTATTAACACTTTAGTAAAGAACAGGGTTTTCTACACTCTCATGTTGTTCTCTTTTTACCATTCTTCTTTTTATTTTTTTTTTATTCTTCGCGTATAAGCTCCTCCCTTTTTCTTTTTCTTTTTACCTATCTCTTTTTATACTTGTCGAAATTTGATTTCATTCCTGCGCGTTTTATTAATGATATTTTTGTTGTTGTTGTCTTCTCTCTCCCCCCCCTCTGCCCCTATATCTCATTTTGATTTTTTTTCTTTTTTCTCTCATCCCTATTTGTCATTCTATATTTTGTTGTTCTCTTTTTTAATTTAACACGAGAATTAGGTGCACTTAAACGTTCGTCCAACCATACGAGGTATACTTTTTGTTTGTTTTTGTTTTTTTTTTTCATTTGCACAATTTTGTCTTCAGTTTATTCATTCCCTTGCGCGGGTTATCCTCCCAAAGAAGATTTTTAATTCGCAAATGTATTATAAACTTTGTTTCGCGATACTATCAATTTATTCTCGTCGATCGTTCTTCATCTATTTTTTTTTTTTATTTTTGTGGTCCCCTTCTTCGAACAATAATTAATTAAAAAAGAAACTACACGATTAAAATTTCCATTCAATTTCGTTCGCATAGTTTTATTTTTCTTATTTGTTAGGAAAATAAATTTTCTGCTAATAATAATAATAATAATTGTGCTTAAAAAAGAAAAAAGTTATAAAATGCCAACAAATTGTATTGACCATCGATTAATTAATGATAGGAGATATGATATAGTAAATAATTGAATCAATTATCTTACCTTTTCGTTTTAACACAAAGTTAATCGATTTTTACAAATAAAGTGGCACGTATCGCATTAAGTACTTAATCGTATTACCTTTAAAAGGTTGAATAATTCGTTGGTTAAAAAAAAAAAAAAGAAAATTGTCCACAGGTGTGGGGGGTGGCTGGGTTGCTAATAAAACGAGAAAAATATATTTTTGTACGTGTAATATTTAAAAACAGAAACTAACGATATGATGTTTATTAAGATCAACGTAAATTTAACTTTTCGAATGAAATAGGAAAACAAAAAAGAAAATGTTGGAGGAGGAAAAAATGAAACCTTAAAGGATATCATAGTAAAGATTAAAGTATTTACAAAATAGAAAATAAATGAGTATAAAATTGAATATCAAATGAACTTGTCAAAAGAATGTTATCGAAATTGTTTCGGATGTATTGTTCTGATCGACGATAAAGTTTAAAACGTTAAAGGGTTTTACAGAAAGGGCTGTGGTTGTAACATCGGGGTCATGCTATACGTATTGTACTCACAAAGTCGATATTTTAATCTCCGCGACCTGGTCGTTGTGCCAGTAGTAGATTGTTCCTAGAATGAGAGAGAAGAAGACGAAGAAGAAGAAGAAGAAGTAGAAGTAGAAGGGAAGAAAGGGTGAGGGTGAGAGAAAAAAGAACGGGAAATTCTAGCTAGGGTGAAATAAGGAGAGTTAACAGTGTGACGAAGATAAAATACGCACAAAAAAAAAACTAACCGCGAGGTTAACCCACAAAGAAGGGAAGAGGGGGGTATTGGTTAAAAGGGGGAGGAACGTAAATTAGGATCTTTGAAAAAAGGGGGAGTATAAGTAAGAAGTATATGTGATTTAAGGAAAGGTAAAAAGGAGGAGAAATTTTGAAAAAAAAAGAAAGGGCCAGAGGGAACGAGGTTTAGCAAAGCAGGAATTGCAAAAGAGAGAGAACAAATAATGATAAACGTAAGGATAGGGATAAAAGGGTGGAAATAGAGGAGGGTGTACAAACAAATATATCGTTTTGAAGCAAACGAGTAAAAAGGTGGAGGGTGAGGAGGAGGAGGAGGAGGAGGAGGAGGAGGCTGGAAAGAAAAAGGGTAGGGAAGGGATGCTTGGAATTGGGTATGGGAGGGAGAAGAAAAACAATGTCGGTTAAGGGAAAGGGCATAAACTGCTGACGCGATATAAATACAACATACATATTCCCTGGCTTGGTTGTATTTCCATTTTATTTCTATCGTTTCGTTTATCTTTTTTCCGGAGCTTATTCTCTTCGACATTTTCATGCACTATTCTTTCCTATGTGTATTATAGATATGTATATATATACAAACTGATGGTAGAATTATCTTGCATTGTCAGAAAATACTACGACAAAAATTATATCAAGCTTTTTTTTTTCAAAACCTTTTTTCTTTTTTCTTTTTCTTTTTTTTCTTTTTTTATTCTAGTTCTTCTTGTTTCGATGAATCAAACAAACGGACCTCGGGCAGAATTTTGTAAGAGAATACCGGATACCTTGGTTATACGTTTCTACTATATAAAGTTTCTACAATATCTTCATTTCATAGATTTGACACCTTATATAACCACAGTTATATACAATGTTTTATATAAGCCGTTCACATGTCTAAACGATTAACTTTGTAATACGAGAAAGGGAAAAGCAAAGTGACAAGGTAGTAGTTGGTTTGTAAAATATCATTTTTATAATATAAATTCAAATAAACCTTTTTTTTTGTCGTAGAGAAGACGAATTATTATTATTATTACAAAGCACGGATTTTATCCAAACTAAATATAATATTTATCAGACTGTCATAGTTTTTCGGGCGAAGAAAAATAAAAGAAGGAAATAATAATATCTAACGTAATATAAAATGAAAATGAAATTTATAATTAGCATGTTAAACATTTTGAAAATGTTCATTTGTAGTTTATCATTAATTAGAACTACAACGAGGGATACAGTTACTTTCGTAAAACTTACCAGATCATTTTGATTCTTACCCTTTAAAATATTATTCACGTTTGAATAAGTTTCGACAACCCTTCCTCGAAAGTTACAACGAGCAAAATTCAGTCGTGAATTCAAACGTCTATGTTATTTAAACACCGAACACAGAAGACACCACCCTTGTTCACACTAACTTGAGTTACTATCGAGATAACTTTGACTATTTCAAGAAGTTTAATTGGTCGTGACCATGCAATTAACATGGAAAAGTGGAATATCAACCATTTGTTTTTGTCAGATATAAAACACAATGTCAACTACTATGCCAATTCATGATCGATTTCATTCGAATCATTTTTTATTAGACCATGTCGAGAACGTTAGAATATATATATATGTATATATGGATAGACGAACACATTTTGTGTGTGTGTGAATTTTCAAATAATTTATTAGAATTATATTTCTCATTTCCTTCTCGAGACGGCAGAGAAAACTTTCACTTTCGATCTTCAATTATAGAAACTCGAAGAGAAATCTGATTGAGAAGATGCGAATCAATGAAGACAAAAAAAAGAATGAATAATTAAAGTTTATACGAATATAATGTATACTATAATTATTTCTCTTTTTCATTTTATTTACTTTAGAAAGAGAGAGAGAAAATAATTCTGGAAGAAAACGTACCGAAGTACGAATTCTAATTTGACGTTTTTTGTAATTGTAAAAAGGTTCTTATTCGTCGCAATATAAAATGCATGCAACGTGAATGTTATAATGAACTTTTAGTTCGATCTTACCAACAGTCGAATTTTATTGAATTTTATTTCAAACTTCGTATCGTGTATATCTCATTCACGATAATTAAACTTATTGAATTAGCCTGTTGTAGGTAGTTGTTATAATATAAACATTGAGTTTATTGTTCTAGCATCTATTGAAAAGTTTTTCCCATAAAATAATACCATTATAATGTTAAATATTTTGTATAATGTATTATATTCAATATTATCAAAATAGTATAAAATACATTAGCAACCCAGGCTGTAGAGTGTTTTCATATTTTGTGTAATAAAATTTAAAAAAAAAAAAAGAAATATGTGCAATTTATATTCCATACTTTCGTTCATTTTTCACAATTCCTATTATAGCAAACTGTTATGTTAATCGTTAAAATCATTTAATCAGAAAAAGATAGGAAAAAAGAAAAAAACTTGTTCTTTGACCCAATATAAGAAAGGGGTGGTGCACGTATTTAAAGTTTTCAAGTTGGCAAAAGCAGTATTACCGAAAAAACTACGGAGAATCTCTTTTGTTTCGACGTATGCTTTATATGCGCCTTCTTGTATAAAAGCTTTTTGTGTTACTCTTGTTCAGCGAGGTTCTTAAAATGCATACAACACTTCCATGTGTTACTTGTATGCACTCGGGTGCAAATGTAAAAATAGAAAAAAGGGGGTATTTCTTTTAGTTCAAAGGTTCCATCATTAAAGCTGATCAATCGTAACGTTTCAATTTTCGTTAATTAATTCTTGTAAAATAGAGATTTTTATATTATGTTTCAGGTGTTCGATAAACGTAATCGTGGTTATATAACTGCATCCGATCTAAGGGTTGTTCTACAATGTTTGGGAGAAGATTTGTCGGAAGAAGAAAGTAAGTGTAATAATTACGAAAAAAGGAATATTAAATATAATATAATATTTGAATAGAAATTTAATAGAGTAATTAATACCAAATTTGTTTAATGATTAAAATATGTACGATAGAAATTCATTGATTTGTTTGCGCGTGTTGAAAATTATTCAAATATTTGTAATTTTGTGGGTAGTGGTTGCGGGGTGTTTGAAGGTACAACGAATATTTGATGTTGGATCAGAATTTATAAAATTTAAGCTCGTTTTTTTCTTTTTTTTTTTTTTGAACCGACATTTACGGTACTTAAAATTTATTTGTATGTACGCGATATGCACTAATGATTATATTTTGTTCCATAAAATTTCAACTTAATTGATCCTAAAAAATTCGGAAATGTATAATCCTAACATTTGTTTCGTATTTATTATAGAGTAATGTACTTCCTTCGCTAAATAGATTTGAATAAAATGAAATAGATATATAGAGGAAGAACGAGATAGATATATATACATAAAGAGAGAGAGAAACGGAGAGAGCTAGTAAGGAATATCGCGTTAATTTTGCGAAGTAATTAGAGCTTACAAGGCACTGGTGCATAATCCTCATCAGTTGGAAGAGTGTGTGAAGTTCACTGTAAATGCAACTAAATATTCGCCGTAGGATCGGATCAATCCAATTTCATTCGTAGATATTGAATATTTGAATATTTGTACAGGTGCTAAAATGAAATCAAATAAATTAAGGATAACGATGTTACATATGACGTCAGGAAACATCACTTTCGTTCTTCCCCTACTTATCAATTAATCTAATAAAAACTGTTCTATTTACGATTGAAAATCCTGTCTTGAAAACTTAGCAGAATCTTTGTAAACGTGTTTTTAGCTTTAAAACACTTCATGTATTACACGTACTTATTTGCGGTAACATTCCCTAAAGCGTGGCTTTCGTTAACGACAGAAGTATACCTCAGAGATATCCCTTTTCGTATTTATGCTTTAAGTGTTCTAAACTTCACTTCAAGTTTCGGTATTTCAAGAATTCCCTAACGTGTATTCTCCCCTTTTTCGAAACTACGATCCTTTAATCTAGATGCGAAAACTTTTTCGTTATTTAAATATATGACGAGAGTAGTATTAAATATACTGTGAAAATTTTACTCAACCTGCCAAAATATTTTTACGCTATACTAGAATTATTTATATCGAGATCATAAAGGATATAACTTATTTTTTGTTTCTTGTTTTTCTTTTTCAATTACAAAATTGATTTTAAATTTGCAAAAAGGGAATATTCTGTATTTCAAATTTTATTCGGTTGAATTAGTGGACACATAAGAAAATAAATTATTGAACTGAATTCAAAATGATATTATATTATCGAAAGGTAGAACAGTAGCCTGGAAACTTTTCTGCTAATTCAATTAATCGTTTTCAAGATTATCTCGAAGTAAAGTTTCTTTTGTTTTCGAACTTAATTTATCTATCTATCTATCTATCTATCTATCTATTCCTATTCTAACGCGTCCAATTGAAAGGCTTAAAATTTTTTTCTGGAATTTCAGTAATTACAATTACGTTTTTACTTAGATCGATGGTCACACAGAATTATTAGTTAAAAATAAGAAGAAATAGAAATGTATCAATGATAGGAATCATTGAAATTATTGATGTTTCACGTAGATCTTTTAATTAAAATGAACGATATTCATTAATTAGATATCACCTTGGTCATTATTTTCTTTCAAATGCAATATCACTCGGATTTATTATCCATACGATTATATAATTATTAAAGTAATTATATGAAATAATACACCGTGTGACATTTTGTCATTTGATACGCGTTCAAAAAATCAGAAATCCCCATGAAATAAACACTATAGTTATCGAGTTTCTTGACAGTGATCAAATTACATTTATTTCAAATCAATTCTTAAGTAATTCTTTTCGCTTGTACAATTCATTTGTCATGATTTTTCTTTAATCGGACGCATTTAAATTGTACTGTCCGATAGATTAAATTTTTCTTTTTCACAATTTATATAAATGTATATAAAAATAAATATTAAATGTAATGTTAATATAATCAAGATTTTTTTTCTTATCCAAAATTTATTAATATAATTACTAAGTTTACTCTTAGGGAAGTTGTTTTTTTGGACGGGTTTAATTAAGATGAACACAATATTTATCCGTTGAACGTTTCGTCT